AGTTAATTCCTTGAGCTCATCATTAGAAAAGAGTAGCCGCTGCTTCTTGAATTATTTCTTCGACTTCTTCCACATTTACCCCTTCAAAATATGTCTGTACAATACCGCACCAAACAAGAAATACAAGTACACTCTTACAGATATGTATTTGAAACCTAGCGCTGCATAATATTTCGGGGAATCCCCGTATGCTGCGAACGATTTCGTGGAATCCCCGGGTTGAAATAAAAGAGCGCTAAATCGAAACAGCGCTAAACGAAACAGCGTTAAGCGGGGTCTTACTGTATATATATATATACACGTGTGGTGCGGAAGACAAATTGTTATAATGTGATTTATAGGTGTTACCACAATATTTTGAATGACGATGTTTCAAAACTGCGAAGTTTTTGCACCTCTTTATTTTCTGCCACAGTGTGTTATATCACGATGTTTTAGAACTAGGGTGTTTTCCCTTTGCTTTCTTTTCTTGTCACGATGTTTTGTACTACGATACTTTCCCCTTGCGTTGTTTCCTCCGTGATATTTTCGTTCGCAATGCAATGATAATTTCGTTCGCATCATGCAGGGTTACACTTATGTCTTTTTGCGTTATTATTCCGAGCAGAAAACTGAAACCTTACTTGCGCAGGGTGCCCCGGCGTATAGGTTGCCCACGCTCTTGCAAAAGTTGTTAAGTTCAAAACTGATCTTCGTGAGGGTGTAAGCACCTTCATGCTGGTTCATGCATGTAAAAGTTATTATCTTGGTTAGTTGTAACCAATTTTCGTAAAGGTGCCATTTTTACGCAGCGGCACTTTTAAAAAGCGACCCTATTATGCAGTACTATTTTTTTCGGTCAAAGTATTCATAGCCGAATTTTGGTGTTTGCATTATCGGATAGATCGTAAAGTGATCTTACAAATGAACTTTGTTCATAATCTCCTATTAGAGATTTTGATTTCATTACCGATTTTGGGTACTTTTTCCGAAATCGATCGATACGCTAGCTGCAAACAGTGATGGATTATTTGAATTTTTTTTAATTAATAAAATACGACCATGTAATACAGAATGATCGGAAAACCTCGAACTTGAATGTGCCTTGTGGTCATGCTGATTAGAGAGAATAATTTTTCTATGTTCGGAGGATATAATTTTCTTATCACTCCTTCTCCTTCAATGGATCAAAATGTGTAAAATATTGTAAAATTCATATTAAATCCTATTTAAATTACATTGTTTTAATTACATGTTTGAAAAATAAAAAATATTTTTATCAGCTGTAAGAATATTCTTATCTATCTGTGACCAAAGTAAAATTATTGGTTGCGCATAAAAAAATGTATTGTTCTATAAAAGAGTTACTTGTGATATTTAGGAAGAGATTTAAGAAACGGTACATATGATAAATTGATGATTTTTGGAAACATTTGAACTGTTATAATAAGCAATATATATCTAACACCGTATATATCGTACCTTAATGAGGATTATTTTGAGTTTTGAACAATGCATCTATTCCTGTTACATATCTAATGTTACGTATAAAATATATTTGTGTTCAGAACTGTGAATACTTAAAAAAAAATGTATCTCACGTTTTATTTATATTTAAAATCACATAAAATCAACAATACAAAATTATATGTATATATTATTGATGTCATACTTTGTTAATACCCAGATCGTATCATACGTAAATTAAACATAAACTAGCCTAAATTGCTAACGATTTAATAATTATATATAACGATGTCAGGTAATTATACAGGCGAAGGAATTTGGATAGAGAGTTGATATTATTGATTAGGTAAAGCAATAGCGCTTAAGTGTGAATCAGAATGTAATTTCAATCTTGGCTGGATGTAATATATTCTGTTATGAAATAATTGAAGGAAAAAAAACATTTATGTGAAAAGAAATATCGCTGAATCTCAGACGCAAATAAAATCATAAACGTATAAGAAAAAAATGAAAGGTTTTTCCTAAATTATGCATACACTGAATAAACTGAAACTATGGATGTATCCCGCTTATACGAGGATACCTTAAGAGCAACAGATAGATTAAATGCTTATAAAAAATTAAAACATGCTTGTTTTTATCAGACAGTATTTAGTATCGATTTGTAAAGGATGTCTTCAAATTTATATTCCGCGGAACCCCCTCTTTCCGTTTGCTTTCAATACATCAGCATCACGTGAGGATTCTTGACATCAATCGAACAAAATAGAAGCTAGTCTGAAAGAAAAAAAAAAGTCTGAGAGCTTTAGATTTTATATTACGTCGAAAGATGTGTTTTTTAACGTTTTATGGGTTACCATTATTTATTAAATATCATGTTATTCGCACGTAAACCATATAAAATTCAATTCAACAGCAATATCATAAAATATTTTTAGAATTTCTGACATACAGTCTCGCGTCATGGAGATAAAAATGTTTTTTCCGTACACTGTTGCCATTGCTTGTTTTGAAATCGTCCCGTCTGTTAATCAAAAATTCGTTAAAGTTTTACAAAATATGAAATAAGTGATAAAACAATTTCGAAATTCACAAATCGGGCATCCAGATGACCGTGTACGGGTGGAGGATTGCGTTATTCAAAATTGGATGGCTCTAGGTACCGTCGTTTTTTCACAATGCAAGAAACATACATTCATGCAGATTCTTCATTATTTAGTTTCTTTAAATATAACGCAGGGCGATAATATTTAGTGCCAACAATCTACGCCAAAAATGTCGTTGAAACTAATAGCTCTTCTGGGCTACCGCCCGTTTCGTCTAAAAGGTTTTTGTGTGTTTGACAATGCAAAAACAATTTATGTTTCTTCTGCATAGTGTCTCTTTAGAGGAATATGAACGAAACTCTTCTTTAATGTCAGATTGGTCGTTCAATAGACTAGAATGCGGCTCTGACATAGTGACATAGTGGCCATCCAGAAGTCCGGCTTTAAAACCGAGTGCCTATTAAGTCACTAAGTTACAGGAGACTAAGTTTCTGCCAAAGAGCAGATTTTCTCCTCATACTACAACTCTGGACGATCTTAAGCAGCGTATCACAACAACTCTTGCGACTGCTGACATGGTTATGCCGAGAATATGTTTGAGAAGAACCTGACAATCACATTGATATCAATCGTGTTACGTAACGGCTACAAATACAGTACTTATACAGCACCTAGCATGTAATCTTCAGGACATATTCTTCGAACTATGTAAGTATTTTGGCCGTGCTATTGACACTATTGCTCTTGTAAGACTACTGAAAGAGTCTACTTCTTTTACGCTAATCCTAAATATCCGATCATCTAGTATTAGATGTGAAGCCCGGTGGACCAGTAGCTAGCGCGTTGCGCAGCAGCACCACAGGTCCGGGGTTCGATCGCCGGGCTGGGCAAGGTCGACTCAACCTTTCATCCGTTGAGTGGGTCGATAAAATGAGTACCAAGTTCGCTTGGGGACTAAATACCGGGGGGGGGGTGTCTTGCGACAAACTGACCACTTGTCAAGGGCATATGCTCATGCACCCCGGGGCCCACGGTCAAGAAAGCAGATATAGGGGCCCTGCAGGCCTTGGCTCGCTAGGGCTGTTACGCCAGTGAGTTTAGTTTTTAGTTCTAGTATTATATACGGTTTTATATTATGACAAAGAAGGATACCTTAGTAGAGGACTTTCTAAGTATGTTGATTTCTCCGCCTTCTTAGCGTGCCTTTGTGGTATAGTGGTCTGCACGCTCAGCGCGTATTCGAGAGGTCCGTGGCTCGATTCGCGGCGAGGGCATTGCTCATTTCTCAAGTCTCCTGCTTCCAAAAAAACCTAATTTATCTACAGTGGCGCCCGAACTAAAAGGGTGGTGAATGATTGTTCTCCACACACAGGATTAGGCGATTGAGTTCCCTAAACCCCAGTCGCCCTTTAAAAATCGTTAGTATATAAGGTACTTCTCCCGCCTTCTTAGCAAGACTTAGTATAGTGGTCAGCACGCTGGGCGCGTATTCGAGAGGTCCGTGGTTCGATTCCCGGAAAAGACGTTGCTCATTTTTCATCGCTCCTGTTTTAAAAATAACCTAATGACTCTATAGTGGCATCCGAACTAAAAGGGTGTTGGATGATGATTCTACTCACCCAGGATTTGGTAATTGGGTCCCCTAAAAACCCCAGTCGCCCTTTAAAAAGGGGAGTATATAAGGTATTTCTCCCACCTTCGCATGCCTTCGTGGTGTGGTGGTCTGCACTCTGGGCGCGTATTCCAGAGGTCCGCGGTTCGATTCCCAACGAAGGCGTTGCTAATTTTCCATCAAGCCTTCTTTATAAATAACCTAATGTCTCTACAACCAATGAGAGTGCAAGACAACAGTCCAGATGTGACTTTTGAAGAATGGCACGAAAATATAAAATAGGAAATTTAAAACTTTGTTCCGGCTTCTAATTCAACACATTTTCAAAATTTAGAACTGATGATAATAATAATAACAATAATGATGTATAAATAAATATAATTTTACATATTTTTAACATTATAGAACATTTTGAAAGCCTCCCTTGAAAATGGAGACAGAAATTTTCTTTTGCATCCTAGTGTAAATCGGGCTCTGCGTAAGTTTCGGGGAATTGAAATGTTGCATCCTTAGATTGTTCTAATAAACCAAACTACATACAACCCCATTCTCATTTCTAAACAAGTAACCACCACATGTGGTAAATCAATAAACTACATTCTGACTACTTCTATTCGCTAATTTTAACATCAGATTGCGAACGAAACGGCAGTTGCACGGGTTTAATTTACATGGCCCTGAACCTGACTACGAGAACGCCCTCTAACGCCCCACTCTCGCAACAACAATAAATCCCGATGAAATACGAGATCGCCCATGAACGGCACAGCTAGGCGATAAATTCGGCGCACTTGGCGGTAATCGGCGCATTCGATTGGCGACGGAATGGAGATTCAATGTTGCAACCGCAAGTTCATGGATCTAGAACCAATTCTTCCCCGTGCTCAGTGTAACTAGAGGCTAGGAGGAGTGGAGAAGAGATGTAGCGCTCCTGCATTGTCAACAACGTTGTGCCGATGGATTTTCGAATTAAATCTTGGATTTTATTTTTTGTTTATATGAGACTGGAGTAAAATACTCTACATGCAAAAAAAGTGAATGAATTTTTAAAGGGTTTTTGAACAACAATTTGAAAAAATGTGAGAAATTTTATAAGTGAAAAAAATACTAAAACGATGAAACATTCAAACAATTAAAATATTGACAGTTTCCGCTATGTGAATGTTAAAGGTAAGCAAAAAAATTTCTTATGAGATAAAAATATTTAAATGTTAAGCAAATTATAGTCAGAGGATTATTTAATGCTGTTTTTAAAAAGAAGTGTGCACATGTTTTTCCGAAGATTTTAAAATATTATTCTGATAAACTGCTGCAAATACAATTGTAACGTTTTTTCATTGTTTATGAATTTAATTTCGGGAAACTGCTTTTTTTTAGTTAATAAATTATTTTTTAATGAATACATACAAAACACTTTCAAGTAATAGCTTGCAACCTATCGCTAGGCAATAAAAACATTTTGGAAATAAAGAACTTCTTATAATTAAAGCTGCCTACTAAGAATATTCATTCGACTCAGTTGTTATAACGGAAAGTCATTATAATGACAGTTCAATTAACAATATAGCTGCAAATATCCCCAGTTAGTAAAAAAAAATATGCATTTGCTTTATGATGTCCTTTGGACACGAAGAGTCGTTATAACGAGCATCGTCTTTATTGATCAGTATTTTACAACAACATTTGAAATTTTATGACGTATTTTATTATTATATTGTAATTAAACGTAGATTATATTCGAAAGATAAAGGAATATTAGTTAAAAAATTCTGACATCCTGCATTTTACTAATATAATACTATCATTGTTATACAGTTTATCTTATTTTAGTTAAGAATAATTTTACTGAAATTAATATTTTTAAAATGGTTTTTAAAAAGGTATTTATTAGTATTGAAAAAGAGTTAAATTTTTACATATCGCAGCATGATCATTGAACAATGCCTAAAAAAATAATAATTAAAAAATAGATACTTCATACTGGCATATTGTTAATTTGTGTGTTATTAATTAAAAGTGAAATATTTCGTACCTGTGTATTATTAGCTACAGAATATTTTGAATGCAGCTTTTAAAAAAGAATTAGTATTGAAAATTTATACAAATTTTAATTCGTTTTTATACGGTTAAATTTTTATACATCATGTGACCCTTGAGCATTGCCTAAAAGAATATTGATTAAAAAATAGGTGCTTTTTGATAGCATATTATAAATTTATGCTTCATTAGTTAAAAGGAAAATAGTACTACATTCATGTGTATTAATACACATTAATACTTCTTAACATTAAAAAATTCATAAATATAAAATTATGATTTTTTTTTTCTTTTTTTTTTTTTTTTTTCATTTTCATTCTAAATGCACTGTTGAACTCCAGAGCCCATTTTAATTCAAATAATCATTCATTTACGTCATATTTCATCCAAATTCCCTTTTTTTTAACTTTTTCTAATTGAAAGAATTTCGTTTAATCCGTTTTTTCTTCCTTTTTTTCTATATTCAGTTTTATTTTGATTTATTTGATATAGCTGAATTCATTAAAATTTGCTAGTGCCAGTTTCGTAATTCTGAATTCGGCAATTTTATAATTCGAGTCAAAGATGTCGAAAAATGAAAAAATGTCGAATCAATGCTCTTAAATTAGATTTTGTGAAAAATGCACTTTATATAACGCTTATAATTTCAACTCTCCTTTTTCTTATCTACTTTTTTTTATTTAAAACTATTCAAGTTATAAATGTATTTCTACGTAACAATTTGTTTCTCCTTTTATGTAGAATTATCTGAATTTATTTTTTGAATGCTTTTCTTCTTCTGAATTTAATGTATCTTTATGAAAGGAAGTACTTGAATTGTTTTAGTAATTAAATTAAAATATTGATTTTAGTCGATTAATTGCAATGTTATAAAAATGATGTGCATTCATATTAAAACTTTAAACTGAAACTTAATATTGTAATAATTAATGTAATTCTAAATTACCATTTCGTTTAGTTATCCATTTTAGGTCAAAATAAGTCTCGCGAGTGATGTAAATGGATAACTCAAACTCTAAAATTATAATTAATTACTATATTATAATTAATATAAAGTTGACTTAAATCGTTGATATAGTGTTATTACACCTTTATCTTCATTATTTAGAAAAGTTTTTAAAATTTTAAGCAACGCAGCTAACAATAATTTATAATTTAATAACAAATTCAACGAAAATAATTTGCTCGAAATTTTGTATTAAAACTTTGTAACAATTTCGTAATTTGCAATGCAGTTATTATTGTTCGAAAATTTCGATCCAGCTTTGCAATTTTTTTATTTCAAACGAGAGGAGAACAAATTTCAAATACCCTTTATAAAAGTTTTAAAGTTTAAAAAGTTATAAAATTTCGTAAAATCGCAGAGAATAGCTCAAGAAATTCTGTTTCACGAAATCTTAATTAAAAAAGACAGAGCTATAAATCGATGAATCATATTTGAAACAGAAGAAAAATTATATATATATATGTATAAACTTTGCGAAAAATTGAAGAAATTATGTAAAATAAGCATATAAAAAAATCTAAGGTGGAGCTTAATATTTAATTTTGAATTTTTAGCCCAAAGGGGGAATTTTACCCAGAAGAGTTATTAATTTCGTTTTGGCATTTTGCGTTGAAAACTTAAATGCGTTGAATCACTTTTCAAATTATTACCACCAAATATTATTGCCCTGTATTATACTTACTGAAATTAAATAATAAAGAATCTGCATAAATGTACGTATGTCTCTCGCATTGTGATAAAACAACGGTATCTAGAGCCGTCAAATTTTGAATAACGTAATCCTCCACCCGAATATGGGCATCTGGAAGCACAAATTTGGAATTTTTTTTTTTATTATCTTTTTCATATTTTGTAAAATTCCAACGAATTTTTGATTAACTAAGCGATTTCAAAGCGAGCAATGGTAACACTATACGGGGGGGGGGAATTATCTCCAGCGCGCGAGACTGTGTATCGGAAATTCTAAATATATGCTCATTTTAAATTATTTTGTGATGTTGCTGTTGAATTGAATTTTATGGTTTAAGCGCGAAGAAAATAATACTTAATAGATAAAGGTAACAACACATAACGTTAAAAAAAAGGCTTCTTTGAGCGTAATATAAAATCTGGAAACTCAGATTTTTTTAAAAAAAAATTATAAGTTTGTAATAAAATAATTAGTTGCAGTAAATAAATGATTTTTCCAAACATTTACATAATTTGCTCTATCTTTATAAAAAAAATTTCTATGAAAAGAGGTAACATTTCGTATATAAGTACTATATTCAATGTTTTTCTTTAATTTGCTGTTTCAAAAATCTTTTCTTTTATAAACAGAGGGCCATGTACTTGATGCGTTATTCGCGAATTTGATTTTTTTTCATAGCTTTTCATAAACTTAATTATCCGTCTTTTAGCACTTCGGAGAAATGTATTCTTTTCTGGATGAAATCTAACCTGACAAACGTAAACGTTATTTCCAATCGCCAATTAATGATATCTTTCATTTTTGTTCGATATTATGAAAATGTATTGCTGAATAATGAAATTAACGACATAAAAATCAAATAACGCCATTATAATAAAAAAAATTACAATTTGACTGAGAAATTTATAATTTGATTTCTTTTGTGCATTAGCGTTTGCGTCAAAAATACGTTGCGAATGGGTATACTGAAGTTTTGTAACAATATATAAATTACATGTCGCTTTATATATATGTGTGTGTGTTATGGTTTAGATGAGAATGCATAAAAATGAAATCATTGTGGCTGGTTAAGATTTTATTTCTGTTCTTTGACATCATATTTTTGATGTAGACACAGTAAAATTTTAGAAGGAAATCTGTAACTTGAATTACACAGAGCAAAGGGCGCAATATGCACTCTTGTTCTTGATCACATCTATGCCATTTTACATCATTATAAACGAGCAGTCGGTGAAAGAAAATCAAGCGGCGGCGTGGTTGCCAGACAGCAAGCGCGAGACGGAATGCGACATATCCAAGATGAAAACCTGGTTCAGACTTATTTGGTTTTGCTTTATTCTGATGGGTTAATTTTATGCTTCGATTTGCAAATTTGAAATTATTATTGGCGAAAGCAGATTAAATATTCATTTTTTTTATTTATTTCAGCAAACATGTTGCGGGCACAAACAAATTGGCACATAAATTGTGCCTATTCCAAAAAGCTTACATTTTAGATAATTTTGCACTAAGAAAGGAGGAACAAACAGACTGCAGTCCTGCTAGGCCAAAGCATAGAAAGCAAGTGAGATATGTTCAGGGTGAAATCTTAATTCAGGCTGTAAGTTTTGGTTCTCAATGCATTTTGATTGGATAAATAATATTGCTATAAAATTACTATTGGCTGCTTTAGTTTTCGTTCCATTTACATCATCAGAATTATTTAAGAGTCATATAACATGGATTAATCTCGAAATGACGCAGCGCAAATACAGGTTACTGTTTTTAGAATAGAGAAGGGAAATTAATTTAAGCTGCTACTTTAATTTTTTACATATTCTTTAATTTTCTTACATATATATATAGAAAGAGAGAGAGAAAGAAAATAATACAATACTAAAAAATTGGAAAATTGAAGGTAATAAGCTCTGAATAGCCTATAATTAAACAACACGCTGAAATCTGTAGTTAATTAGCGATATTCCGGAAGAATAACGTAATAATTACTCTGAAATTTATAGTCTACTGAAAGATAAAAAATAAAATACTATAGATAATGAAAGACCCCCCCCCAAAAAAAAGAAATGAAAATATAATACCCCATAAAATATTTAGAAAAAAATCTGAAAGGTTTTAGATTTTAAATTACGTCTAAAGGGGCGTTTTTTTGACGTTTTGTGTGTTACTTTTATTTATTAAATATCATGTTCTTTGCACTTAAACCATAAAATTCAGTTCAATAAAAAGGTTTTTTTCCCCGTGTTGACATTGCTCGCTTTGAAATCCTTGAGTTTGTTAATCAAAAATTCGTTAAAGTTTTACAAAATATGAAATCGATCATAAATTCCAAATTTCAAATTTGGTCTTCCACATGCTCATATTCGTAGGAGGATTACGTCGTTCAAAATTCGATGGCTCTATGTACCGTTGTTTCATCTAAGATTTTAAGGTCGCCCC